CCATAATGATAGAAATATGTCATACATTTCTCTAAGCCAGTAGAATGTACAATATCAAGAGTGAACCATAATGTAAATTATGGACTTTGGGTGGTTATGATGTGTCAACATAGGTTCATGCAGCAAATGGACCACTCTGGTGGAGATCTTGATAATGGGAGAGGCTATGTGTTTGTTGGCAGAGGATATATGGGAAATCTCTGTACCTTCCTCTCAATTTTCCTGTGAACTTCAAACTGATATAAAAAAATAAAGTCTTTGTGAAAAATAAAGTATTAGTTAATATATATATATTTTCTGTTAAACCCTTAGTTAACATATTGAATATATTTCTTCTGAAACAGAATGCATGTTATCCTTATTATTATTATTATTATTTGTGAGGAAGCTTGGTTCTGAGCTAACATCTGTTGACAATCTTTCTCTTTTTGCTTGAGGAAGATTGTCACTGAGCTAACATCTATGCCATTCTTCCTCTGTTTTATATGGGATACTGCCAGTGTGGCTTGACGAGCAGTGCTAGGTCTGCACCCAGGATCTGAACCCATGAACCCTTGGGCCTCTGAAGCAGAGAGCATGAACTTAACCACTGTGCCACTGGCCAGGCTCCTCCTTATTAATTTTTTGATAGAAATGTATATAAGTGAGTTTCATAATAAATGAGTAGAGATTAGGAATTAGAATAAAGTTCTATAATTTATGAGCATAGTAATATAAATTATCATAAGGATTATGAATACTAAGACAGTGTAATATTGGCTTATATTATCAAATATTATATCAGTCTAGGGAATATGCCTTATCCCTTAAAATAGAAACTAACTTCCCAAGATCAGAATAGTTGATACATTTCACAGGTGAAACTTTCTGTATTCATGTAGTTAGCCAGGATTTTCATTATTTTTGAAATATTGATTAAGGTAAAGTAAATAAAAGATATAATTATTGTTGTCATTATTATCATTATAAATAGAGAAAATAAAAATAGCTTGAACTCAAAACAAACCAGATTATGAGTGTTAGAAATATTTTAGCAGATTCTATATTTCAAAGAAATTAATAAAATGATTACCATATTGCTCAAACGATAAAATTATAAGATATTGGATCTGTCAATAATTAATAATAATAGTGCATATAAAACTGGGGGAACAGAAATATACAGAAATTACATACATCATTTTCATTCCTATAAAAATATTATGAGATCACAGAATAAAGATTCCTTTTTTTTGCTGTAGAAACCAAAAGGATTTCACTAAGACAAATGACAGAGCCTGACTACTTGATGGCTACAAAGTCTATATTAGGGTGTTTGGATTTTGTTCTATGGAAACATCACTTTCACTTATTTAAAGGAGAGAAAGCTTGACTTAATGAAGTTTGTAAGGAAGAACAACACAGTAATTCTGTAAAAGTGGGTCTCTGCCAGTTGGCCTCCCTCTGTCTCATTTTCGTCATTAGTCATTAGCATCTTTGACACATGACAAATGTTACTGACCAAGGTACAGTAAGTAGCAGTTAACAGAAAGCATCTTTACTACTGAAATTCCATGTGTTCTGATCCAGTTGTATCTTTCAATCTGGATACAGTGGGATTTAATGGGGGATATTTTCAGAAAAAATTGTAGAGCACAATGTGAGGAAAGATACATCACTTCTAATACGTTAACTAAAGTCCTTTGCAGACTATTAATCTGACACCTCCTACCCTGTACATTGTTAAATATTTAGTAGTACTGATTAAAAATAAAATTGAAATGTCAGAGAACTGAGAGTACTAAGGATACTGAGAAAAAGTATTTCCATTTACTTTCTAAATCAAAGCATTTAAGAAAAGATGATATTCACATGTAAACACTGATTCTTTCAATTATATTAGCTGACAATTTCGTATTATTTATTCATATAATGATTACTCTCAAGAATGTAGAACAGACTACTGAATCATTGACATCCTGCTATTGCTCAAATGAATGCCATTGTGAAGCAACAAGTAATCAAATTATTCACTAAAGATTGTTTAAAATAAGTATAAATGAACATTTAAAAAGTTTTACTTTAAGCCACACCTATGCATCCAAATGTAAAGTCCATTTGAATTTTCATTATTTACCATGTTAAAGTTCATTCTCATTTAAAACATTTATACCTAAAGACTTTATTGTAAAAATAACAAATATAAAATTTACCATCTTAATCATTTTTCGTGTATGGATCAGTAATGTTAAGTTCATTTACATTGTGCAACAGGCATTTAGTGACTTTTTAAATCTAAGCCATGTTGTTCTTTACAACTAAGGCTGTTCTGGCAATGTCATGTGGTTGCTTCTCTCTCTTTTGTGAGTGTGTTTGGAAAATATAGGCTCTTTTATTAATTAGATTAAACGTTTTGGGAAAAAAAGTGAAATTGTGGGAAATTGCCAATTTGTATTTGAGCAAACCAAATGAAATAATTTCAAATTCATTTGTTCTACTACTGCAATGCAGAAAAATGGTTCTTCTTACATATAATGTTTAAATATTATTTCTTTCTTAATATATCTGGACAATGTTTTCTTAGTATTTCTTTTTGTATGTTTCTGTGTACTTATTGCCTACAATGCCTTTACCATCTTTGTTACATAGGGACTAGACGTGGTTCATAGTAGATAGCACCTACATGTTTTATTATTTAAGATAATTTAAAATTTAAATAATGTAAATCAAACCTAATGATAGTAACTGCCCCAAATTTTATTTATTAAATTATTTTGTTAACATATAATATGACAAATGGAGACATCTAATTTAGGTAAGAGTTAACCCAGAAGAAATGTATACATCATTCTGACAAATGTGCTAGTGTTTTGCATTTAATGTGCTGCTGAAATTTAATCAATGATAGAACCATATATTGAGTTTATAGCACTGACTAAATTTTCTAATCTTACTCAGCCTTGACCCAAGAGGAGATTATATCAACCACTTTTGTCTAGGTCTATTAGTTTTGCAAACTGTCTTGGACTCACTTATTCCTCAGAGTTTTAAAGCTAAGGCTTAAGGTGATAATTACAAAGAGTCACAATTGCTCTTTAAAATCCATTAGGGAGCTGTTTAGTTTATGATAAACTAAACATCTCTAAGCATATAGATATAGTTGGTGATTTTTTCTCTCTACACCCAGAATGTATATAGATAAACTTTTCATCAGTTTCACTACTGATTGGGTTGGGCAAGGGGCACCTAATAATCAATTATGGCATTAGTGTAAGGTTACTCTCCTGCTCTAACTGAAACCAAAATGCTATTTTATTCATATCACGTACTATGGGTAGATGATTAATGTTTTTAGATTTAGTTTTGTTGTGATATGTAGGAAAAAGAAAGTATTTTGATGGTTGAATGAGTGTAAAAAATATTGATAATCACAAATTAAACATGTTTCACCAGAAGAAAAACCATAATTTCTAAAATATGCTTTGTTAACAAAAGATTTGGTAAGCTAATTTGCTTATTAATAAATACTTTTTTCATATATCCCATTTTGTGTTTGGCACTGTGAGTGATGAAAATTAAGTATGACATAGTGTCTGGACTGAAAGATGAACAAAAAATATGAAGATCAAATGGACATATAATAACTCATTAATTTGGTAATTATGTCTTTTATGGTGTTGATAATGTGTGAGATAGAAATTTAGAGCAGTGAGATCAATGCAGGACAATTCTCTGGAGAAGTTTTTATTGATGACATTGGTAACTAAAATTATAATAACTTTATTGAGCAATTCATGTCAGATACTTGATTCCATTTAATCATCATATAACATACTTATGAGATAGGAATTACTATTCACATTTAGGTGAAGAAATGAAATTTCAAATATCTAAATCACCTAATCTCTAACAAAGAGTAAGTGAAAGATGCAGGATTCGAACACAAGTCCATCCAACCAGAAGCCCACACTCTTAACCACATTCACACGTGAATAATTTCAACTGTAAAATCATTATCTGAAAATGCAAAACTCATATTCGCATTCCTAATTAAAACTTGAGAAACTAGGAGCCTCCTGTACAGTTATAGGAATATTGTTCCATGCATACGCTATTTGTTGAAAAGAACAAAACCAGATAAACTTTAAGAGATTAACAGCATTAAAGGCACTGAGTTAGAAGCATGTTCAATTTATGGGATGGGTGTTCAATTGAATTAAGGGTGTTCAATTTATGATATTATAGTGAAAAATTGAGTCTCGACAGTAGAGATTTTGGATAACATAATCTGTTATTAATAACATAGAATTTATATGTTGAATACATACTTTGTGTTAAATCAGATAAGGTATATATGGCAGACAAAAGATCTTACCTTCTGAGGATACTTGTTGCAAATTGGGAGCATTAATAGCCCCAGGAGATGTTGGTAAGGCTTGAGATTCTTAGAAGTTCATAGTGGCCTATTAACAGGGATGATGAGTGAAGTGTACATGATCAACGGGTCAGATGACAGACAGGCAGCAATTGTCTCTGTGGGACAGTATTACTTACAATGCATTTTCTAAATTGAGCTGAAATAAGCTGGAAACCAAACTACCAACCTTGCAGTAGAAGGGCTGCTACTGTGTTAATAAACCTACGATATGTAAACCTACGTTCAATCTATCCACAGCAACATGACGTGTCTCTTCATGGCATGAAAATCTCCCCACTATAACAAGTACAGAGCAGATAATCAGCACAACCTGATTAACCAGGCAATTTGAATCCGGTTATCAAATGGGCTCAAGAGTATCTTGAGGATTTCTAACTCAGTATGACTCATTATTTTGATTCTATATATGCCTACAAACGGCTTCTTTCATTGTTATAACACAAAATTTCCTCTCCTTGCAATTGGAGTACTAATCTATCTATTAAACCTTTGAGATTAATATCTTATGTGGATATTTATATACAGAATACATTTTTTAAGAGGCATAGGTATATCACACTGAAAAGGCTAAAATGTTTTGCAGATTTGTGAAGCTGGAAATCATTTCATCAACGTTGTATTGGCTCATCCCAATCACACAGGTTAGTCTGTTTTCCTTTTAATCTTCTCTAGAGTGAATTATGTTAATTATCATTTTTAAAAGCCTTAAATCAACAATTTTTAAAAGGGAAATAGTGATAGTTGAGAAGATTTAAGATAGTATATCCCAATCCTTACCTTTTCATGTCTAAATTTTCCAAATATTTGAACCAAATCATATGCTCTAATAATAACTTCTCTAAAATGAAGTGTGCATACACACACCCACCACACCACACTCCCCCCCAACACACCCAAAACAACAATCTCACAAATATGTGAAAAAATAAACACATGATTAGGAAGTGAAGCGATATGAAATCTGTTGATAAATATCCAAATTGCTTAGCTTAGCTCTCAATTTTGATCTAATTTGCCCAATAATTGATACAAGCAATGCCTGGGAAGGCATTTGTAATTTGATCATTAGTTAAAAGCATTCAAAAGAATTTAGTATCCAAATCATTTAAAGATATCTTGGATAAATCAATCCTTTCATTCTGGCTCAATTATGGGTAGGGATTCACAGCTGATTATTGTAAATGATACATATTTTAATTATACATTTCAGATAACAATGGCCAACATTTGGACTTCATGTTGTTATCAATTGAGCTGAAAATATAAAGGCACATTTGTCTTTTCAAGTGTGTTTTAATCTCTACCTGAATTTCTTAACATTTTCTTGCCTCTCACATTTCTGGCAGGCTGATAAAGCATATGAAACACTTTCCAGAATAATTTTTTCATATAATAAAATACATAGAATTACAAAGGAAATTTATTATATTGGAATACTTTTGAACATATGAAAAATGTTGTAATATAATAATATATTTCTTACTACAACATTAAATAACACTGTGATAACTACTTCAGTTTTTGAGTACTGGTGACCATAAATTATATATATGGATATCCAAACAACAGAAATAAGATTTGAAAATATATGTACTTTCTCTTGATGGAAAAAAGTTAACAGATTAATCAAATGCTATTTGGGTTTGTTTTCTGCATTTGTGTTGAAGTAAAGCATGCATTTCATTAAGAAGTTGGAAGCCATTTTTATCTGATCTAAACTCATAGAGGCACTGAATTCTCTTTGGGGGTATGTGAAGCCCAGATGAAAAACTTCTCATAATCTGATTTATTTTCAGTGTAGAAGCAAAACACAATACAATCCCATAAAAATGCTAATATTATCAACGTTATGAATATCACAAATTTTAGTCTTGACTCTGACTCTCTAACAATGTGACCTCGCTCAGGGTTCTTTATCTATCTGGAATATGGTGTCATTATTTGAAAATGAAAATTTTAAGTCAAATATGACTTTGAAATTATTCATGTGAGAAGTACTGTGTGTATGTGTTTATTTCACCTTTTATCTTGCTTTATATGTTGCTCTTGAGAAATTAGATGCCAATCTACTCTTCTCTCCTTTGTTAATTGGGATTCTTTTTTTGTCTGGCGACTCACAAGACTTTTTCTTTATCACTAAAGTCTATTAATTTTGTAGAGTGTCTTAGAGTTGATTATCTCAGATCAATTTTCCCAGGGACATGATGTAATCTTTAAGCAGGTTGATTCATGTCTTTTTTAGTTCTAGAAAGTTTTACTACAGTTTTAAAATTCACTTCATTACATTGCAGACTGTAGGGGAGTGGTGGGGTTAAATTATACATATGTTACATCTGTCTCTATCTTCTATATAGCTATCACTTTCTATTTTTACAGATCCACATTTTTGTATACATTCTGGGAAAAGCCCACCAGGATGCTACTGGGCCTTTCTTTTTGGGGAAATTTTAAAAGACTTGCTGGTGGGAAATTACCATTGCAGAGTGTCTTGGTATAACAATTGATTTGCACTAGTTTCCTCTTCAACAAACTCCTAGATTTCCTTCACCCTCAACTGGCACATTTAACATCTCAGGGATTATCTGTTGGCATGATATAGACCTTCATCTTGAGAGTCTGAGATTCCATTCCTGTGTACTTATCAGAACACGGATGTGGTCCTTGTCCATGGGTCAAGGGAGTACCAAGAGGTATCCAAGTACTAGAGGCAAAATCTATTCTCCTTACCTCAATGGATAACAGCAGGCATACTTCCTCTTCAAGATCACAGTCAATTACCCTGTCAACAGTAGCGCTTCCACCTCCACAACTCTAGGTCTTCAGATTTTAAGATCTTTATCCCCAAATGAAGACTGTTCTGTAATGGGATGCAGGAAGATCCCCGTTCAACTATAAGTTACAGTTTGTAGTTGATTTAAAGATGTACCTTGCCCCTACGTCAGCACCTTAGCTATGCTTTCAATAGACCAGTTCGTCAATCCATTAGTTTGACAACTTCTTGATCATGTTGTATTTGATATGATATGGTTATGGACCCTCTCCTGTACCTCCTTTTTGAAAAGTGGATTCCTTAAGCTAATAGTATGTTTTGGAAGATATGTTAATTGATCAAATATTACGTAAGACCTTGGATAACAGGATTGACTCAGGAGCTGAAGGAAAGAAAGGAAAAACCATTCACAGAATGTCTCTTTTCCTGCAAGTGTGAATTGCTGCCCCCCTTCAGAATAGATGGTGTCTAATAAATCACCTTGCCATCAGGTTACTTGTTAGTCTCCATGAGCAATGATGCCTTTTTACGGTCTCCCTGTTGTTCTTTCTTGCTAGCAGTTTGGACATTTGTCAACAGTAGTAGGTAGATCTGCCCTGGTAAGTGGGAGCCCATGCTAAGAACAGCTTCCATTCCTGCCACTATACTCTCCTAAATCAGCCATTTTCCAGCAATGGAACAGTCTATTACAGAGGCTTGCCTGACATTGAGTCATCTTTTCTATGTGTTGTTTACTGTCTCTTCCATTATTGATACTCCCTGTTGGACATTAATGTATGATACAAAGATCTTTACACTTCATGCCTACTCTTATATTCATGGAAATTTCTGACTTGTGTGTCCATTTGACACTGCCTGTGATTCCACGCATATCATAGCCTTGGGTATATCTCTTTCAACGCTTGAAACTCTGCCCGTTAGGAGAATTAGCCCCCTGCCCACTATTGTCTTTTAAGGGGACCCCTGGACGTGACCATAATGCAGCTGCCAGGCATTTTTGGCTTATACCCACATACCAGCCAGCTCATCCCTAAACGATGCTCAGGCTCCTCCTCATTTTTCAGCTGACCTTAAGGGATCCCTGGACTGGGGATGTAGGTGAATCAAATGAGACACATTTGTTCAACAGTGGTGGATAACATGGTTTTCTAGACTACCTGCTAGTGCATCTTGCTTGTACCTTATTGTCCTACTTATGTTTCACTATGAATATACCACTTCCATGTTGTAATCGATTATTGCTAGTCTTACTCAACCTATGACTTGCTATGTCTAACAGAACTCAGCTTATAACGAAGTTAGGGCCACATGGTCATTGTTCCTAGAATAGGCTCTTAATCTTTACCAGGATTCAAGAGCATGCCAGGACTGTTTTCTCAAAGAACTATGATTCTCCATTACATATGGCAGGGCCTTGCTTCAGAATACCACAGTTCAGCATTATGATTATCCCATTGGGCTTGCCATAAATTCCACACAGTTTTTTCCCACCACTGACAAGTTTAATCTAGAGCATCTACCTAATTTCAAGGCCCAAATGTAGGAGTGCTTTCACTAAAACTTGAGCCTGCTGGAAGTTTCTGCCTTGAGCCCTAACAAACTATTGTAGCTTTTTGTGCTACATGGTGTATGGTTCAAAGTAGATTTTCCTGGTGTGTAATATGATACCTCCCTAACTAGAAGAGGCTACAAGGCATTTTGCTTTCTTCTTACTGGTGGGAGGTAGAGATTGCAATATATTTCCTCTGTTTTGGAGGCCATGCTCACAATCCTTTGGCCTCAAAACATTTTACTGATGCCCCTAAAACTTTGTTGTGTTTGTTAGCCCTCCCACCTCCTGTGGCCCATGCATGTCTTACCAAAGCCACCAACATGCAAGCCACTCCTTACTCATGGAGTATGAAGAGCATAATGTTGATGGTATAGTGTAAGAGTGTGATTTTCAGTGAGATGTCCAACCAGTCAGGGTCTCCTTGAGCTATTTTATGAGAGAGGGCAGGAGTATTAAAACAGTCCTAGAAAAAAATTGAAAATGTATACTCTTGTCCATTTTAAGGAAAAGTAAATTATTCTTTTCTAATAGAGACAGAAAAAAACACATCTGTCAATTCAGTGGCTATATCCATATACCCAAGCCTGGGTTAATCTGCTTTAGCAAAGATACCATATCTGGTAATCACTTGCAATGGTGGATAATGTTTGATCAAGCTTGCAGGTCTCACTGTCATCTTCCAAAATAGAGTCTTGCTCTTGCAGGGCCTAGAGAAGTTAATTAAATGGTGATATAACTCAAGCATACTTTAGACTTTAAGTGTGGCACTAAGCTCTCCCTGGGATACACTATTGCTTTATATTTACTGAAGAAGGAGTGCGATTTCAGAGGCTTCCACTTGCCTTTCCTCACTTTATTAACTCTTACTCCAAAGGCCAAGAAATCAATATGGAGGTTGTGCAATCTACAAAGTATGTATAGTCCAATTATCCATTCAGTTTCTGGGGGAATGACAACTTTGGACCTGGTGGACTCACTGTGTCTAACAGTCCTTGAAATGTAGGGATATTCTACTTCCACTGGTATACAATTTGCCAAACAAATGTCTATAGATCATTTAGTGACGTTCTCTAGTGAGGGAATGTGAGAATCGTTATCATGTTACTTGTTTTCCTTTTTCAAACTGTTTCTTCCTGGGCTTCTAGACTGTTCTTCCATCAATGAGTTTAGCGTCTTACAACTGATTCAAGTCAAAAAACTTGGAAAAAAATAGAGAATTTTATAGTGGGCCAGGTGCCTGAAGTCTCTGAACTATTCATTTCCAAATTATTTTGCTTGTCTAAATTCAGAAATAGCATTGTGGAGCATCCATCAATCTAGCCTCCAGGAACACTGTGTTCTTTTAATGAGCTTTTCTGTGGATCCAACTTTCTGTGGCTCAAGCCTCTTCTGAACTTACCACTCATTCTGACTTATGACAATTAAGTGCAACCAGAATTGGCTTTGATTTGGGGGAGGAGGGATCCTTTAATCCCAATCACTGCTAGAAATCCCAGTTCTAGGTGACATCACTTACAGTCCCCCTGGAACTGCAGAGAGCCAACACGAATCTTAATGATGGTGGTGCCCTTTCATTAACACATTCCTTAAAGCTTTGGAAAATGGTGTATCCTCTAGATGCTGCAACAGAATATGGGAAAGAACATGGGAATATGGCGCATGGAAAAAAATTTCCTCTGATAGAATAGCAGCTTCCATTTTCAGCCTTATATAGACTATCTACTCCAGATCCCCACTTTTCTGAACCATTTAACACCTTCTTTCTCTGCCTGCCATAGGTATTCTGACATTTCTGCCTCAGTTACTGTGGGCCATTGCCTTATTCATGCTTCCAGATGTGTGTTAGCGTGCTTGTGCTATCTTAAATTCTACATCCAGGACGGTGCTCCAACAACATAACCCTACCCTTATCCAATTTTATATTTTGCCCCTCTTATCGAGCACCCTCAGAACCCAATCATCACATATGTATTCTCCTTTAATTTGCTTTTCATGTTGGCTGGGTCCTATAGCTTCTTTGGGGCATAATTCCTTTTTCCTTATTAAGACCAGAACAACCTCAGATAGGTTATATTGTGATACAATTCTAATTATAGCATAAGTGTTAAGAGGGGACATGGAGAAGATCCTAGATGAGATTTTCCTGCAACATAATGACTTCTGTATTACCTTTAAGCAAGGAGGTGTGCTAAGCTTTAATAAGGAGGATGGGACCCTTCTGTAGACAGGGAGTTCACGAAAATCTATGTACTCCAAGATTTTGTGGACAATGACCTTGGCTTCGCAGACCTGCTTTAGACTGGAGTTGTATATTCTTCGGAGCTTGACTACTCTTGCAATTAAGTCCTGGACCTGGTTTTCAGCTTTCTTTGCCTTTCTCTCATTGTATGCCACCAAGGAGATACTCTAGTTTTCACCTTTGATTTTTAATTGTGAATTATTAGTTCCAGTTTTGGCATCTTTGTTGAGAACACTGATAGTAATTACCACTTAATTCCATTGGACCAAATAAAGCATTCACTTCCACCAGTAAAACATCCTAGTCTACCACTGGTAAAGGTTTCACACTTGCACAGCTACCTTGACCAGCAACCATCGGTTCTGCACCTACCATAAATGATGGGGTACTCATTGCAGGTACTTCAGCAGGTCATTCAACTCTAAAATGTCACTCCAGCCTCTGCTTTTTGGGCCATTCCTGGCGTCAACTACTATAGGTTCAGTTTTATGGGATGCAGATGCTGAGACAGAGATTAGCATTTAGGAGGTTTGTTAGGGAGTGATTTTTTGAATGGGAAGAAAGAAATCGTGTTTGAATTGAGTGGGAAGTTGAGAGCAATACAGTCTCAAGTAGAGTTTCAGATGAACCTATGGGGCATTCTAAACCTGGGATGAATAATCAGTGGTGTTCTGAGTTGAGTCTTCAATTTGCCATATGAATCACATATTGGACAAAGGCTAAACTAAAAAGTGAGTGTGACCTTGGACAACATTGTGCCCTCCAGCCAGTCAGTCTTCATAGAGGGTGCTGAGGGTTGAGGGTTCTCTGCCAGCAGCACTCCTGAAGCTCTGGAATGAACCCTTTATGCCTTAAGCAGAATTTGGATGGTGCAGTACTGTAATGTAAAAAATCCTCAGACTTTTTTTTAATAGAAGCTCTATTATAAATAGTAACTATAGATTGAGAAAACATATCATGGGAATATAAATGTTAAATTAGTAACACAAACTTACGTATTATTACAATTAACAGCAACTATGTACACTTGAGATGATATCTATCTACAAACGTTTTGTGTGTCACAAGACACTGTTTATTTAATCTATGAACGACATCTGGAAGAAATTTGCATTTGTGGGCCCTGATAATTCCACTATCTCCAGAGGCTGAAGAGTCATAAACTAGAGGCTTGAACCCAGATAGATTATCTTGTGTGCGTCTTCCACTTCCGAAATTCATTTACTGTAACGTGGGTAGGTTCTTCCATTATCTTTCTTTTGATGAATATATGAAAATTATACAAAGGCATTTACATAAGTGTTACCAAGAGAATTAGTAGTATTAAATGGCTTACGTATTTATCCTTATCTTGAAATGAGCAGTGCACAGTATCTAGTATATTTTTTACTTTGATATTTCAACAATAGTCGCAGTCTTGGAGTCAACATACTGACATTTCATTATGACTTTAGAATCATAACTAAAAGAGATTAGTTGATGTGTTATCTGATTAAATCTTGCTGTGGAGAATAAACAATAATTTCACAATTCATATTTACTTTTACAAATGTCACAGCTCAAAGTGCAACTTGAAGTCATTACAAATTTGTTATCTAAAAGGTTTCTTGAAAAAGTTGGGAAGGCGAAAAATAACTAACAAAAATCAAGTGACAATATGCTAAATATAATGAGAGCTGTAAATAACTATCCTGATTGCTGAGCAGAAATAATTTATGCGTTATTTCTGAATATTAACTCTACTGATATTCACCGCAATCCTTTTATGAGAGATTTTCACACTTTTTGATATAAATGACATTGTTATAAGATTTCCTTTGGATTTTCACTAATTTAACAAAAAGAGAGGTGTGAGGTATTTAATAATCTCACCCAAAAATATCTTCGTTGACATTAAAGGGGAATAGGAAAAGGCATACATTGTGAAAATTCATTTGTTAATCTTAGTATGCAATACTATTGCAACTATTATGATATGCAAAATAACATTTATATATTGTGGCATTTAAAATCTTAAAGAGATGATTATCATGGTGTGTTCTGTAATTTTACAGCAACATAGCTGTAGACATGGTCAGAAAATGACAGGTATTTTATTTGAGTCAAAAGGTCATAACATTTGGAATTAGGTCTCTTCTGCGAAATTCATGAAATAGGTTTCTATAAATATATGATGACATGTCACATAGTATATACTTGTTCTAGGGCATTTAGAATTGTGTAATAAGTATATGATCAAATTTTCAATATGTAGCATCATTGACATTTTGCACTTCTTTCTAAAAGGAAACAATGCCTGTTTTCCAAGTCCAAATTATAACCCGTTCACATGGATGTTTTTCCTGGTTTCGTGTCCTAACTACACCTATGAGGTACACTATTTATGTATGTAGATAATTGAACTTTGATGATATATTAAATGCATGTGTTTGTGTTTTTATATGTATTATAGATTAATATATATATGTTTTATCTCTAGATATAGGTAGAGATATAGATTATGATATAGATTTCAACTCAAGTTATAGGCATAGGAAATTGGAACTTGTCAACCACAATTTTCCCTACAGAAAAAGGAATATTTGTAAATATATGTATCTGTATTTAAAAACATTTTTGTAATCTTCATATAAAATGTCTTGAGATGTTTCAGAGTTTTAATTTTTATCAAAGTTTTTGGAATAATGTTCTCCATTTTCTCATCAATATGATAATGTTTCATGGAATCATTTATGACTTTATCATATTTAACAGAGAAATTAACATTTTGGGGAAATTTATTTCTACCTATAATTTTTTCCACTGTGTTTTGAGCTTTCACGTTACCTGTTTAATGCCACCAGTGAACAGATTACTAGATTAACCATCGATATTTGTTAATTTATGTTTTAATCTGACAGATTGGATCATGGATTAGTTTCACAGTCATGACACAAACACTGCCAGGTAAGATCTAGGTTTGTTGACAATTAATTGAAGTAAATGCACCTTTAGGAGAAGTGGTTTCTGGTGGCAAGTTGCTATAGTACTAAAGTTTTGCATATTTGCAAAAGGATTTTATGCTTTCATTTTTATTTTTATTTTGCATATTGTAGCAGTATTAAAATATATTGGAACATCTTTTACTATGTATCTCTATGTAATAGCAACTTAATTCAAGCTAGGAAATGTCATCCAAATATATACATTAAATAACTAGATTTTGTTAAAAAGCAGTAGCGGTAATAATTCACTTCACTTGAAACTGTCTCTCATGCCTGTGTACAGACATATGTATGTGCTATGTCTTCAAGTGTCCCTGAGTGTCTGTAATGGGAGGTCTGGGAGCAGACGTGTACCATCTTGAATGCTGGGCATTTTAACACACATGAAGAAGTTGAGTTGCAATGAACTCAATGTATTAGAAGGGATATGCATAATATCCATTTCACCCCATCTTTGTTTCACCATACAAAATTCTGAATCATAATTAATAAGGTTTGTTGTGTGTGTGTGTATGTACAGGTATATTATGTGCATATGGGAAACTATTATTGAAAAATTCAAAGAGATTAAAAAATTCCTTATTCGTGAGTATTTTGTGGCAGTGAGATAAAAAAATGTTTATTTATTTTGATCTCTGCTTTGTCCTTTCTGTGTTTATTCATCTAGCAGCAAATATTGATTAAATATATATTATGTTAGGTAATGAATATGAGTAAAGAAAATTGATAGAGAAATATGCAACATTTGAAAAATATTTTAAGAGCTGTATATGATAGTGTTTTTTCTTCGAATAACTCACTATAACCATCATAGAAATAAGAAAAGATAATTATTTCTTTTTTCTTCCAGTTGGGATTTTTACACTTCTGATGACTATCCAGATGTCTTTGTGGGCACAAAAGAAACATAAGGTTTATCTGAAGAAATTTAACTCTTACATGCGTAGGAAATCAGCAATGATACCATTCATATTGTAAGAAAAAATAAGTGATCTTATTTCATATACAGAAAAGCAATATATAAACTCACTAAATTAGACTTAGTCTAAGATGATTATTATGTTCCAGAAATTAACAAACAACAGTATTTCTACTGAGTAAAAATATGAAATAGTAGAATTTAGCTAAATTTAGAGTAATAAATTTGAGGCAGATTAAAAGTAGAAATTAAAGATATAACTAATGAAAAATAGAATTAAGCATAGAAAATAGAAAAATAACATTCAGTATATTTCTAAGGGATTGATTCTTCAACAAGATTTTCTTACTTCATTAAATATCTCATAACACTATTTGTCTAAGACAATGAAAATATCTGAATTCTAAAGTAAATATTTTTAAAAGTTTTGGCATTTGAATCACTTGAATTTTACACATTTTGATAGTAATTAAATTTCTTCTCTATTGTTCAATTTGTTATTGAGAAGTTTCAAATGTCCTATGTTATTAGTTTAATTTCTTGTGAAAATTCTACTTATATTGAAAATGAAATACTTGTAAATAGCCATGTATCTTATTTATTCATAATATATGTAATGTATGCTACCATTCTGAAATTAGAACAATTAAAATGTTAAAATACTTTCTAGACATTATTTGTTAAGTCTTTTAAAATATGTATTATAGTTTGAAATATATTATTTATTCATTTATATAGAAATATATATATTTTGGAATATATTTCAAATAGATTATAAGTGATGATAAAGAGAGAATGCATTGGAGATTCTTTAAGATTCAGAGTTGGAAGACTTTTTGCTTTATTTTTACATTTTTAATTCTTACATCCTTTCAAAGACTGTGTGCATGTGTATATACATATATATTTTGACAAAGAAGTGACTAATATTGTAAAAATCAAAGTATACATTAGTTAAAATATTTGAAAGCAATTCTCAGTTTCTTCATTTTAAATTGGGATTCTTAAGATTGGTTGATTTCTAGAGCCGTTCAAATTCATGTGTGGATATATATATAAGTATCCTCATTCATTAAAGCTCTTAGATTATAGACATACGGCCAAAATATTTTTGATAAAGCTTGGTCTATATGCATTCTGTGGGTGTTTATTATTAATATATGTGGTCAATCATTCAAGAAATAACAAAAGCATCCCCTTTAAAAGTTTTGTTATCGTTCTCAAATGTGCAGTGTTAAAATATCTCAGGGGAAGACAGCAATAAACTTTAACTTCCTAATATCCCTTCAGTAAAATAGCCTTGAATCATGAAATGTTTTTAAAAGAAAGTGCTAATGCATTAAACCACATATACCTATTCCGTCTATGTAGTCAACAACCTGTGATAAATATCCATTTTGTGAAAGAGAAAGAGTAGTTTCTATTTTCTTAACTGGATCCTGACTGACATCAACTCAGGAAGTTTGCACATTTTTGCAGGACTAGAAGGAGATCTTTGATGCAGCAGAAAAGATGGGATACATAGAGGACAAGCATTTCCAGGCATTTCTCTTCCCATTGTGCTACATTTCTTTATCCCAGTTGCTCCAACCATATCAGTCTCAGATCAATCATTTCCTTACGGTTAGTAGAAGCACCTTAGTTAATAGGTACCTCAATTATGAACTGTTTATTATTATTATTTCTCATTTTTATTTTCTGAGGGTCTTATTTCCTAAGACATCAAAAGAGAGAACCTGACAAACAATGTTTTATTATCAATATTAATGTTGCAAGTATGATCTGCAGCAGCCATATATACATTTCGGCCTTTAAAACCTAATCCTGATGTATAGATTTTAGGAGTCACTATACGTAAGTATGTATATGTGAATACATACAACACACACACACACACACACACACACACACACACACACACAATTTCTGTGATTTCTTACAGATTTCCTCTTCCTCTTGTTCATCTGTGTAGCCAAGGCTGCTGCCTCCAATTTACTCCAATTGTCTTCAAATTCTCGGCTTTAATACATGTCCAGGGTCAGTCTTTAAAAACTATAATGGAACTCTCTAACTGAATCCATACTATAAACATTACATAAATAATGAATTTGTGTTGCTATTTAAGAAATGGTATATCTCTTCTAGTGCAAAACAAATCTAAATGAGAATCTCATAGTGTCATTTCCATGTTCCTTTGGCACACATCCAGGTAATTTAGTTTCGGGTAACAGTTTCAACTTATGGGGTCTTTTTCAGAAACAGCATTCAACAGTGCATAGACTAGTTATAGGTGTCTTGATTTTCTTTACAAATCTGTGTGTTTAAGAGGGGGCATTGCTGGAGATGGTTCAGAAAATTGAGATTTAAATATAAAGGTGAAGTCAAACATAAAATATGACACCTTTTGTATAAGGTAGATGTCATAATTTGATCATATTCACAGAAAACAAAGAAAAACGTTAGTGAAAAATTTGTCTGTATAGACAAATATATATATATATATATTTATACACACACACGTACATACAATAGACATATTGACTATAAAATTGCTCACAGAAGTGTCTCTTAAGCAATAAAATGTTTACCAAAAAAATATGATTTACCTTCTTGGTAAAATGCATCCCTGCTTTTATTTTGAGACCCTTCCAGTACTGGCAAATGCCCAATGTATAAAAGTAACAAGCCCAAGAACTCTTCTTTCACATCAGCTTTTTTGGTACTCTTTGTTCTTTTGACCAAATTCTGTGAGTAAAGATGCTTAAAATAGCCACTGTGCTTTCAATAGGATGATGTTGTTCCACTTATCATTATCATAGCATCAAGTACATAATCTCTTTGTACTATTATAAGAATAGAGCTGTGAGCACGCAGTGTGGACTTCAGACATCTAATGCTTGGGCTTCCCTTTTTGGTATCTTAGGATTTCAAAGCAGCTATAGGATTTGTCCTTAAAGGACAAGAATAATAGTCGTTCCACGTGAGTTGGTAGCTTAGCAGTCACAGTTTTGTAGCTAAAGTCTACTCAGTGGTGAGCGGATTTGATGGCCCAGCAAATGGGATACTGCACAAATGGAATGTTCCAGTAGCTAAAAGTTTACTTGAAGAAAAGCTGAAAAGAAAAACACCTCCTGTGGGTACACAATGTCTGTGTTTTTTATTTCTATACGTGACAAATAAAAACATGTAAAATCTATATTTACTCTCTATTAATTGATATAGCAATATAAAGTTATCTATCAGCCCTTCATGATTAATAAAAACAACATAAATATAGCATCTTTGGTTATATTTTTGTGAAAATTTCAAAGTGATATATAATTTTGCCAAATAACTATAGTCCACTTTCTGTTTAAGGCATCTAAAGCAAAATTATCGACCACCTTAAACAAAATCATAATTACTTGTTGACATAATTTGCTATCCTAAATATGCTGCATTATATAACATTCCCACAAGCTGTCAATACTCTCATCTTCCAGATAAGATACACTTATTTCCTCAAATGTTAGGATTCTTGTGTGTGTATTTTCAACAATTGTGATTTTAAGGCAAGGTAAAGATTATGATGATATTAGCAACTCATATATTCCATGCTTTCAATAAAGAAAGGCAAATAGACCTTATTTCTAATTTGATTCAGGTATGTGTATACATGATATATTCATAAAAGTGGTATGAGAGTTGTCAAGAAGAGATTTTTTTTAGTTTGAGGAAGGAACAAGGTTAATTATCATCAACCTTATCAACTAGGAAACAGTCCTAAAATGCTGCCACTTCACATCCAAATTTTTGTACTTCATTTATTGATAGATTTGTTAAAAGTACTGAATGTCAGCTGTGTGTGGGCAATCAGTAGTTGAGAGGAGAAAAGGGAATAATGCAGCCTCTGCTTTCTAGATAATTTACTTATTTAGGAGACAACATAATTTATAAAAATGAGTCTTTAGAATTAACTGAAATTAATTAAAATCCATGTATTAAAGGCAATATTAAGTTTTCTTTGTTTTCATTCTTTTATTCTTTGGGCTACATGGGATATAAAGGAATGGATATTACCTCAACCTGTAAATGTCTGTTAAAAATTATGAAATTATGAATCTGATTCACACAATCAGTCTTTCTCAAGCCATTTCTTTACTATAATACTTATAACAAAGAATAAAGAATACATTTGCCCTCCATTTCTTTCAAGTTTGCATAACATACCATTTGTAAAGCATACCATTTATAAAAACTCTAAAAACTAAAAACATATCATTACTGGTTACGAATCTTTCTTGTGAGAAATTCATAGATCTGTGAATTCATGTCCAATGATATCTTCATAGATTGAGTTATCCATTGGTTTGCTTCATGTTTAGTAACTCTTTTCTTCACATTTGGAAATGAATCAGTTTTAGGAGGATGAAATTACTCAGAGTAGACTGACCAGGTTGGGGAATGAGTCCCACATAAACCTGTCCCCCTCAAATAGAACTTACTATGTCTTCACTAATAAATGCCCCATTGTAAACAAAGGCTGGAAATAATCTTCAGCAGAGTGGAAAAATATGATCGCAGATCTCAGGTTCTACCACCAAATCCTTTAATGCGACAATTATGATGATTCCTGACAAGCTATGACTTTGCAACTTCCATTTGAAGTTTGCTAAAAACGATAGCCAATAATGTAGATATTTAAATTTTATGAACATAATTAAGCATATGAGAGTCAATAAATTAATATCAAAAGTTCCTGACTGATACTAGATTTATGATTACATATATTAAAAATAAACATCATAGTTCATTTAATCTAATCATTACTCTAATAGCTACTTTTTGAATAAGTGTCTGGAATAACACTTTTTCTATTCTAAAATAAAAATTTGCAAAGAGTGTTTCTGAAATACCACATCTTCATCTCTCACACATTTCTATAGAAAGTAGCTGGAGAGGGAAAAAATCATAAGAAAAAAACAAAAATTACATCAGCTGCTGCCACCACCCCATATTATCACAGCATACTGCCTCTCTTCCTCACCCCTTCATCATTTCTACCTTAAGCTGCAATTTTAAAGGTGTTTTGATTTGTTTGCATGAGACTTAAAAGTTTTTTTGTGGTACATTTGAATAAAATAGACCTGTGGTTCATTTGGTCTTTTAGCAAAAGTTTGTGGAAACAAAAGTTATTCTCTGACTCATACACAGACACACACACACACACAGCAATTCTAAGCAATATCTTTTCTTAAAAGAGACAATAAAACTATGGAAGTGTCTTAAAAAATGTGAATATTCAATCTTAATTTTCTTTAAAAATGTTATGCCCAACATTCAAGCCTAATCAAATCATAAAATTCAACATTATGGTTGAATATCTTGTATATTGACCTTTAATCTTCTTCTAGTAAACATCTTCTCAAAGTATTTTAAGTTCAATTTTGAATAACTAGCATTCAGTACATGTTAAATTTTAGCAGTTGATGTATTTCCATAACCTTTTTGCTCATAAAATAAAATAAAATGACCTGTGAATCAATAATGAAGTTTCCTTCTATTTTTATTTTAATAATAAAAAAAGAAAACTCTTGT